AAAAACAATTACCGGTCACCATTCGGCATTCAACAATGACCCAAACCCATACCGTACAGTTAGCTATAAAAGCACCCACTATTACAACATATGGAACAATTAAAAAGAATTCTATGCATGCATCATAGTTCTTGTGAGTAGCACAAATAGTGGCGAGAATCATTTCAATAGGGATCCGTCATTATTTCAAAGAATCGATTGTGGACATGTGCATTCTGCACTTAGTTTGGTATTGACACGTACAAAAGGCTACGATGAATATTGCAATGTCGTCCATTTTCAGATTTGTAAACTGATATCAACATGTGGTAAAAAGTAAAATGTCGAAAATAAAGCATTCTTTGATTCATTACAATAATTTTAATTTTCAGAAATAATTCATAAGATGATTTTTTGCTTATTCAAAATACTTCAAGACCCTTTTGTTTTGAAATTTTAGTAATTTGTGAAGGAAGAATAAATGCAATATGAAATTCTTACTTTTATACAAGAAATATTTTTTTTATCTACAGTAAGTGAAAAAAATATAAATTGGTTGCTCACATATCAGTTATAAAGAAAATGATTTAATCATCACTCATCTAATATCTGGAAGAAGTAGGTCAATAACATTTTTGACATATATTTTGTTGATTTATTCAGTAGTCACTTGCATGTATGGGGTACCTAGGATGATATACAATGTATCATGGGATATATGTGGTGATTTTACATCGTTTTGTAGAGGTGCTCAAACATCGGTGATTTTCCACAATAAATTGTGAAAGTTTTTGTAAGTGAAAGAAAGGTTATTCATATGTAAAGGCAATTATGTCCACCGCACCGGTAAACGTCAAGCTACAATTGAAATTGCACAATACAATAAAACATTTGAAGAGAAATTTAATAATACCTCATATAATATGCAATCATTCAAGTTATGGTGATATGACAGAAAGTAAAATTACGAAAATGCGTGTGAAATTAAGAGAGGAAACTTGGTAACTTAATATGAGGTTTAAATTCATACTAAAATTAGGAAAACTAAATGAAATATCTCTATTGTTCCATAAATACATGTGTATGAGAACTCTTCGTTTGTCTCCCAACAATGTTACATTTAAACCTGTAGTGTATTTTATTTTCAATCTTAGACAATCAGTCTTCATTGTTGACTCTAGTGGCCATTTTAAATGTTCAATACACAATAAATGCACAGGATAAATAGGATCATCCAATAAACATGTTATCTTGGTACTTATAAGTTGGTTTGTAGATTGCAATCGGGTTTAGAGAGCACTGTTAAAATGTTAAAAGACGGCGAGACGTTGTGCTTCGAATAAGGCGTAAACTGAATATTATTGTTTTCTGATATGCAGAAAAGATTAAATTCTATTTTATTACTTGCTATCAAGTGCCTCCGAAAAACAAAAACGTCACGCAGAGCTAAATATGTTAACTTTTTGACACATGTGGAAAAGCATTTACATGACAATATTTGGTAGTTGGGCTAACGGCAAAAGCATTTTATTTTATTTCAGGATAGGGTCAAATGAGACAGTTTTAGCCAATTCAAGCATAAATCAAAATAATCAAATCTGAGAAGCTGTATTGTTATACAGTTTTACAACTAAGCCCAAGAATTTGCATCAAAATGATGTTGAATAAAAAGTGAACTTATCTCCTGCACCACTTAGAAAACACCATATTTTCAAATTAAACTGTCACATCAATTATATCATGTTAGTTCACAGATACCACATGGTTTCTTTCTCAATCTATAGGTGACAATTGTTGCAAGAAGGGATACAATGAAATACAAAATACCAATCAAGAAATATATCTTTTTTTTTCATTATATGTGATTTTGATTTTTTTTTACAAAATTTGATTTTTTCAATAAATTGCAAGATTAGAATATTTTTAAAAACCATATTTAAAAATAATTAGGTTTTCAAATAAATCTTGAAAGTCAGGATAAACAACATCAAAGAATGTTTCCAAAATAAGAATTAAACGCAAAAACAGGGGCGGGGGGGGGGGGGGGGGGGGGGGGGGGTCAACCCCACATGTGCCTGTGCATTTTCCTAAAACTTTTAAAGTTTAACAATTTTGTGTTTTAAACATCTGTTAATATTATCAGTCGCCTTATCAGTATGAAATGACAGATTTATAGCCCTTTTTAACCATTTTATAATTGAGAGAAGATATGAAATTTTCACTTTCTTGTGCATGGATTTAGGACTGTGTATACGAATGTATGTTGATAGACTTATATAGAACAATATGCATCATCTATAAGAACGTGTTGTTGGGCTTGCTAATATGTCATAATGACATCACGACAACTTAGTAGGAATTCAGATTTCTTGTCAATGTTTTGCTGTTGTGATACAACAGTAAAACGAAATTGTTAAATACAGCGAGATATTGATATAGTTCTGTTGATTGGTTCACATCAGATATACATGATTTTTATGGTTTAGATACGTTTCCTTATTACCGATTACATTTCATACGAACTACCATCCGGGTTATTATAAAGATAAAAGACAATGAATACAGAAAATTTAGTATTTACACATAGATGACGGGATGATTAAGCAGATTAATTGCTACCCCTGAGGAAAAACTCATGTCAATCGAAGCGATGAAAATCCCAGCCTATTCATACAGAGGGGATGACAGAGCAGACTAACTGCTACCCTTCAAGAAAAACTCATGTTAACCGATGCGAAGAAAAATACAAGCCTATTCATATAGGGCATATCCATTCAAAATAAAACTAAACGAGAAAACCCTTACTGAAATAATCAACCTCCGGCGAATATATGCTGTAAAAGTTTTAAGTGCAGCACGCTTGAAAAAAAGGATTTACATTGTAGAACAATTTGAAATAGAATATGTATCTGCTGCATGTTTGCTGCATGTTTGCTGCATGTTTGCTGCAAGTCTTCAAACAATTTACTATGCAGAGGAGTGTCTGCAGCAACCAATTTATGCAAATTAACCTTCCTCGTGCGTATTTCTTGCAAACTTGCAGGAACAACACCAATTATAATATTATTAATCAAAATATATCAATGTCAATTGTGTGTACACAGAACTTTTGTCAAATTAGAAGTTACACACCAAATTCAGAAAAAGTACGGTCTCAAACATACAGCAATTCAAATACATAAAATTATGCAAAATTTTCTTGGTTTTGGTAATACCTTTTGATATAATATTCTTGTATTTGGTGAATTGCTCAAATATGATTGAATATTTAAAACTATAACACAGGATACATTTAAAATACTTTTTGTGCAAAAAGCTTAGTTAATTTCATTACAAAATGTAACTTGACTTTTAATGAAATATGATATATAATAAGTTACAAAACAAAAATCCAAACAGATTATACAGTATTCACAAATGGTTTTTTTTTCCTTCCAAGCCTTATGGTATTTGTGTAGCTGACAAAAGTCTATTTCTATGAATAATTTGTATTTACGAAACAAATATATTTGTATAACATTACTCAAACACCATCAACATAATCGAGAAAGGTTTTTTTTTTTTGCTTTGGGGGGGGGGGGGGGGGGGGGCAGTAGGCAGTAAGTCATTATTGTGTAATTCTTACAAGTCTCTTGCCTTTGTAGTTGAGACCCATTTGGTATATGTGCTCCTCTTCTTGTTGACTTCTACCGTTATTCACATGAGGCATATATCATATAGGAGCTTATTAGAAGAATGAAAAGAAGCTAGCATTATCCTTTAATTTCACGTTGCGATATATAGATGATGTCCTCCCACAAAATAATTGAGACAAGTTGTGCTAGAGCTGCATCGGAATCCAAATGAGTTGCACTAAATGTTAACATTACATATTAGAATGTCATTCGCGCATCGTCCCTTTCGCATTTGAATAACAACAGTTACTTTTTTGTATTCTAGTCCATGGGCATAAGCCATAGGACTAAATAATAAATTTGTCGAACATTTGTGTATAAATTCATTGTAAAGTAGCTATGTTCATTTTGTTGAGTGTCCTTTAGGCACCTGCCTTTAGTGACTCCTCGTTTTGTTAACTATGATATGTGTTAATCTACATCAGTGATGAGTAGGATTCAACACATATATTATTAGCTCGTTATATTTCATATTTGAGCTGTTTTTCATTTGTACTATCTATATTGTAAATGTTTAATGTGCTAATTATTGTACTAATGGGTCCTCTATTGGAAATAAAGTCTTAGAAATTTAGACTTATCACCGGGTTTGTACTTACATGAGCAACACGACGGGTGCAACATGTGGAGTAGGATCTGCTCACTCTTCTGGAGCACCTGAGATCACTCCCAGTTTTTGGTGGGGTTCGTGTTTCTCAGTCTTTAGTTTTCTATGTTGTGTTTAATGTACTATTGTTTACCTGTTGATCTTTTTTTTCTTTTTTAGCTATAGCGTTGTCAGTTTATTTTCAACTTATGAGTTTGAATGTCCCTTTGGTATCTTTCGCCTCTCTTTGACTGCGAACATAATTGTTTGTGCAAACTTACGACAAGCCTACAAACAAATCCTCCGAAACATTTCTTTATGGAATCATTGGCTGATCCATAGGTTTATTTACGGTTTCATTTAGCGTTGATTTGTAACATAAATATTATTAATTATTTTACATAAGCTATCACAAGCGGAAGTATACAAATGTGGGTCTGCAGCCACGAGCAGTTAAACAATTGAAACACATTTGCCTTTACTTTTTTATATAATTCTGTGCTATGTAAATTACTGAAACAATGTACTTACACGTTCTTCTTTATTATTTTACAGAATTGGCTTCTGCCAAGTTATGTAATGTTGCTTTGTGTAGACCAACAACCCAAACTTCACTGCATCCAAACTACAACCATACCTTAACTTCATCCTGCAATGCTGTGGATGGAATATATGATTCAAATCTGTTACATCAATCGTGTATATTTACAGACTGGGATGGAACATTTAATTATCCTTCTTGGCAGGTCGATTTGGGTGCCATGTACAATATAGAATACATTCGCATCACCTTGAGAGAAGACGATACTGAACCAAGTAAGTTATATAAACACACCAACCAAACACACATTTGCATATTATCAAAGTACATGGATAAAGTCAGGAATATGACATTTAAATCCCTTTGATAAATAATTTTGGCTGGATTTCTGTTTTTCTGTTTTGTGATTTTGGGCTTCCTACTGATGATACTTTTAGAAGTTTTATAGATTATTGGTTGTTTTTCAAACAAGAGGCTATTTCTCAGCTACTATCTCATTGAAGGACATCGTTTCACAAAAATTCGTACTATAATCTTAGATCTTACGTCGGTCGTACGTCATTAGATCGTACGTCTAATCGTAAGATTTTCACCGTTTCATAAAAAATCGTAAGAAAGATTTTGTCGTAGATTCGATCGTAAACTTATTAGTGGTAACGGGTAGTCGTAAGTCAAATCGTAGAGGTTTAACCTGTTGAAATGTTGTTAAAATCAGCAACATTACATTATCTTACAGAAAAATTAAGTTCCACGGGATGAAAAGAAGATATGTGCTCATGTTATTTGTCCCAATCATAAGTAACTGACATTTAAATTCATGAGAAAATTGTATATTTACCTTTCCTAAAAAAAATCAGACATTTTAGTTTTTTTAACTGATCAAAAACGAGCGACCTTGCTTTTAAAACTCCTAAAATCTTTGACCATAAAACTTAAAAGTGATTGAGCTATCATAGCACTAGAGACATCTGCTTTTTATTAAGGGGGATTGGTATACATTCCGTGAAAATTGGAATCTGGCATGCACTAAATATTCTTTAAAATATATTCTAAACTTTTATTTACTAGTTCTTCAATCGTATGTCATACACAGCATACATCCATCCCACTTGTGGCGTTCTACACGGGGATTATGAAAAAACAATAACTATACGTGTATATACCGAAACGGGATTTGTTTTCTTGCTTTTGGCCAATTATTAACTTAATATATATTATAATTCGGTATCTAAGCTTATAAATTTCAAAATTCTAAATTCATATAAAACACCGTCATGGTCAACATACGATAATGAAATCTTAGCTGAAAATAATCTTTGAAACACCTTCAATCAATTTACTCAATCAATCAATGATGGTTTTGTTTTTTTAATAATAGATGCGCCTTTCTGCAGTGCTGGAGCCTGGAGTCCGGACGATAGATTCAATCTTTGGAAGCTCTTTCTTAGTGTAATTGATCGTTGTTTGTTTAATGTTCAATGGCACATATTTCGTGCATATTTAGGACGAGAATAAAGTAACAATTAAAACAATAAATAGGTTTTGCAAGGTATATATTATAACACATTCAAATGGACGCCTTATTTTGTGAAACGAAAACTAATTTAGCAAGGGTGTTACTGCCAAACAGGAAAGGTGCAGGATTTCTATTCCGCAGTCAACCTTTAGTCTTTTTCAAGTGTAAAGTTTTGATAAAAAAAATCCGCATATAAGAAAGCAGAAAAAATGTCCTGAAACACTTTTCTAATTATCATAGCAAATGCATAATCAATTATTACAGCAGGAGCGCAACCTCACTATGTGTGCAATCTCACTATGTGTGCAATCTCTCTGTGGCAACCTCACTATGTGTGCAATCTCACTATGTGTGCAATCTCTCTGTGGCAACCTCACTATGTGTGCAATTTCTCTGTGGCAATTTCACTATGTGTGTAATCTCTCTGTGGAAACCTCACTATGTGTGCAATCTCTCTGTGGCAACCTCACTATGTGTGCAATCTCTCTGTGGAATTTCAAGGATAAAAGTAACCTTGAAATTCCACAGAGAGATTGCACACATAGTGAGGTTGCCACAGAGAGATTGCACACATAGTGAGGTTTCCACACTATGTGTGCAATCTCTCTGTGGCAACCTCACTATGTGTGCAATCTCTCTGTGGAATTTCAAGGATAAAAGTAACCTGTTTGTATATTGTGATGAAAAATGACCAATTACAGAATGTGTACAATCTTTCTATAAAGTTTTAAGGGTTTTGGTTGAAAACTTTAAAAGGAGTTGATTACATAAAATAGATACATTTACTTTACCGCCCAGTTACCCACTGACATCACTATACTAGAAGCCGGTTTGCACTTCCTGCTACCTGGCTTAAATTGTAATTTTAATATCGCTTTTTAACTTGGTCTAAAGAGCGACAATAAGTTTCACTTATTACTTGGCTTCCGTCGTCCGTTAACATCGTCAATAGAGTTTTCTGACTGCTTGGGCGCTTTTTTGTTATGACTCTTTTTTTTTAAGTAAACGCCGAGGAGCTGAGAAAATGGGGACAACGTAATGTGCTGGATCCAAGTTTGTGTTGAACACACTTGCTTTTTTGTCACTTAGAAAATAATTCTTTCATGTCATGCGTCATTCTCATTTTAACATGGGAAGGCAATATATTTGAAAATATTTTTATATACAGCAATTCACGCAGATATGTCCATTTTGATCCTCGGGTGATTTAAAATATATATGATATTACAAATTTAATTGGAACGTCAAGCACATTTCTTATTGATATGAGAAAATGGCTTTCAAACGTGTAGGACTTGGAACCCCACTCTTTTTCAAAATTATTGACAATAAAAAGCTTAAAGGTAATTCTATGAAATATTTTGACATTATTGCAAATAAAACATTGTTAAATTCTTCGTCAAAGGACACAATTAACCAAAAAAAGATTGATTGATTGTTGGTTGCTTTATGTCCAGTAGCAAATATATCATGCATGTTCAGGACGAGAACAATTAACAATAAACGTAATAGAGGCCGTCCGAGATGAAGGTCTGGAAAATTTGGACTGCCACTGAAAAATGAGGATAAATTGGATAGGGACAGAAACTTTGCTTTGAAACAGGCCACCTAAGGTCTTCCTTCGGACTGGTATCTTGTGAACTAGCACGTTTAAAATCCGACTCGGCGTGTCGGTCTAGTAAAAAGCAGGGTTTGTACTCATTTCACATTATCATTTTCTCGTCCTGAATATGCAGTTGATTTGCCACTGGACGTTAAAAAGCCATCCATCAATTGATCACATGTTCGAAAATACACCAAAATAATTTTAAATATGAAAATAAGGAGATGTGGTATGATTGTCAATGATACCAATATCTTCCAGAAACCATTGGACGAGGATGTTAACAACTACAGCCCAACGTAAGGCCTTCAACAGTGTATTTACTTAATCCATACAGTGTCTTAAGCTATAAAAGGACTCGGCATGACATAATATAAAACAATTCAAAAGAAAAAAAAAAATAGCCTGATGTATGCCAAAACATTAAACAAAGAACAAATATTGTGGGCAACAACTAACGACAAGCTATGAATTAAAGGAGTAGGGCCACAAAGGCTTTAATTCAGCCCTGCATATCAAATTATGCGAGTACTCCATCAAACAAGTTATCTAAAAAAAGAAACCAACATGAGATACGTAACGAACAATGAATCGTAAATGGATCGTAAATATTTGCTATTAAAAATTTCTGATTTTATTTACTTAGATGTTAATCAAGTAAATCAAAAGTAATCCTGCTATACTTTGTAAAAATAAGGAGATGTGGTATGATTCCTAATGAGACAACTATCCACCAAAGTTAAATTGAAGTGGATGTAAGCAATTATAGGCAAATGTACGGCCTTCAACAATGAGAAAAACCCATACCGTATAGTCGGCTATAAAAAGCCCCGACACGAAAATATGAAACAATTCAATTGAGAAAACTAACGGCCTTTATTTATTGTATTTGTATTTCAATTTTTACATAATGCATAATGGAAAATTGTGACTGTTATTACTCTGCTCATTCTGGTGATCGTGATAGACCAATGAAATGTATGTTTGTTTGTTTGTTTGTTTGTTTGTTTGTTTGTTTACTTACTTAGTCCTTGCTATGCCTGATGGTACATAGGGCAAGGACAAGTTTACTCCAATCTGACCTGTTTTTTGCTTTTCTTTCCACTGTGCTCCAGGTATATACACTTTCTTTTATTTCATTTTCTATTGTGGAATAGAAAGGACTCCTATATATTCATAGTAATTGGTAAGTAGACAGTATTCTGTCTAATCGTAATCATGTTTATTGACCATAACAACGACGAAAGCACATCATATAAAGACGTTTTGACATCATTCAATGAAGTAAAACGAACCATATACTAGTAATAGAATGTCAAGAACATCATATAAAGATTTTTGTACAGTAATATAAGGGTAAACACACATCATATAAAGCAGTATGCACATAATATAAAGACATGTACACATTATATAACGTCATTTGCATATAATATAATGTCAACAACACATCACATAATGTCGTTTCCACATCATATCAAGTCAAACGCACATCCTATTAGGACAAAGTCACATCATATAATGGTGAGATCATATCATATAATGAAATGTGGACACAATGTAAGGCTATTTGCACGTCATATAATGACAACTGCAAATCATATAATGACAAGTGCACATCATATAATACACACAATATAATTGAAAAATCACATCACATAATAATGAAAATGAACATAATAAGACAGTTTTGGCGTTCCATATTAATATACCATATTGGACATTTAAATATTCGAACATTCCTAAGTCAGGAACCTGATTTTCAGTGGTTGTCGTTTGTTGATGTGGTTCATAAATGTTTCTCGTTTCTCGTTTTTATATAGATTAGACCGTTGGTTTTCCTGTCTGAATGGTTTTACACTAGTCATTGTGGGGCCCTTTATAGCTTGCTGTTCGGTGTGAGCCAAGGGTCAGTGTTGAAGGCCGTACTTTGACCTATAATGGTTTACTTTTACAAATTGTGACTTGGATGGAGAGTTGTCTCAATGGCACTCATACCACATCTTCTTATATCTATTTAAAAATATGGCAACGTCTTTTTGCGCGCGATTTCCAATCATACTTTGTGTTTATGTTGAATATGAGTACAGAAACAACTACAGTTTACATTAATATTAACTGAGAAATCGTATGATTGATTTACTTACTAATTATTA